TTATAATGCTTTTGTATACACTTTTTATGCGCACGCTTCACCGCTTCACCGCTTCACTGTACTTTGTACGACTACATATAATACTTTCATTTATTCTTTTCCCACACCCTTTGTTATGTTAATTCTCTAGCAAAATTGAAGAAAAGCGCGGAAGTGTTAGAGTACAATAATTTTCTTTGACTTTCTTTTCTAGGCGGGCAACATCCGGTTGAATTGTGTTGCTGTCATAACAAAAGCTTTTATTTTCATTTCAAAGCCCTGGCGACTTTCATCATCTTGGCTAGCGGGGGCACTTCATCTCCTACACTCAGTGCGCACGGTATTTGCGACTTACTTCCACACTCCGCTTTTTGATTTCCGTCTTCCGCATTCGCTTCCACTTATCAAACATCGTTAGTGGTCGCTCAACAACTACCGCCTCACCGTTGCAGTTTCGAAGCTTGGTGACAGCGGCACACTGGCAATTGGCTTATCTCTCTGTGTCAATCAATTGATGCCATTTAATCCGACAGCTGTTGCCGCCACTTGGGCACTCCTGTCATTCGCTCCACTGCTGTCAGTTACGCTCGCCACATTTACCGACGCCGTCGTCGTCGTTGCCTGCTCGTACAGCTGCTGTCCTTTGCGATTGTAATGCAATTTTTTTGTTATACCTTTGGCTGCCTTTGTTAGTCGCTTTCGTCAGCTTGAAGCTTCTAAAATTTACACTCACCGCCGTTGCTGGCTGCAGCAGTTTGGCTTTTGTTTTTCTCCCCGTCAACGCCTTTGTTTACCTACTTTCATTCGCTGTTTCTACAGCTTAGCGTTGGTTGGTTCTTTGTTGATTTTGCGTTTAATGGAAAATGGTATTGAAAGTTTATTGCCCACTTATGTGCACCTGCCTAGTCGATACTCGTACGCAGCGCTCATTTCATTTTTCACTTAATTTCCCCCCGTCCTTGCTGTGGTGAAGGATCACTTTAATGATTAGTATCCTAAGTAAATTTTCTAACTTGTTGATAGCAATCAATCGGTCGGCTTAGAGAATGGTTAAATTTTGTAATTGACTTCAAATGAATTTGCGCTTAACCGAAGTGGTTGAAAGTTTGTAGAGGAGTTATCGTTGTTGCACCCCGTTTTTGTGCTTTCAAAAGATTGTGTTATCTTTTAATTTACGAAATTATTTTTGTTGGAAATAATATTTAATTACGAGTTTGATGGTGGCTTAGTAATACAGACAAATGCGAAACAGTTCGTGATAAATTGGCTTTGAAGCCAAATAACTCGAAATATTTTGAAGATTTTTCTCTAATAGAGCGTTTCCACCAAAAGGTCAACTGCAGTTAATAAGAGCTTTATTCAGCGTTTCATGTGCTGTTTGGTTGGTTGTAGTGTTTCCTAGCTGCTATCTGGGTTCAACTAGCACTTTCTGCGCCATTCTGGAGCACTTCTTACCGATAAATCAAATTATCGTAAACGGTTCACCTGGACCAAAGTTATCCTGCAACATATATATCAAAATATTCCAAAGAATTGATTACACCCAAATCGGTGAAACATAGAAGTAACGCATACGAAAATCGTTTACCGTTGATTTTGTTGTAAAGATACTTGGTGTCGTTGGGTCATTTTATTCAAATTAGATCGAAAAGTCTAACCTGCGGTTAATCCGGTTTTTCCACAACTTGAAAACCGTTTTTTTTAAATTGAAAATTGTCGAATAACTTGAAAACCGGTTTTGGAAAAAGGCGAATAATCGAACACCCTAGTAGATACCGTAACTCGATAAAATAGAGCAGGCGACTTACAACATATAGTACCAAAAATTATGCCTAAAAATATACAACGCCTCCAGGAAAACAACATATCCAGATTGCTTACGATCTTATACTGAACCGTTCCCGTTCTCGAGTTGCATATCTTTAGGCACATAAGTTATTAATTAGAGATTTTACCGATAGACACTCAGCGTAGCGATTTCTAGAATGCCACCCAAGGTTTTTCAAAACGATCCGAATAAAGAAAGGTTTAATTCCTATGGAAGCATTGCATAGTTTTAGGCGTGACTTCTATTTATTTATAGATTTTGGTCAATATAAATTTACAGACTCAACTACAAAATTCAGCGCATGAAAATTTCTTAACTTTTGCGCCTAAACCCATGACGAAAAACCCTACCAAGTACGTGACAACTATGAAATATTGTTTATATATATAGTATGTCTAAAATTAGAAACGGTTTTTTCTAAAAGCGGTCACCCTTCGGTTGGCAATGGCAAACCCCCGAGTTGGTTTCTGCCTTGAAAAGCTAAGCCGGGTCCACCACAATCAACTCAACTTTTGTTTAGATGTTAGTGGGCGTGTCTTTCGAATTACGCCCATATCTGGATATTTCATAAAACTTGTGTATAAGTTAATTAAATTCGACTTTTCAAATGCGTGGCAAATCATTTGACAAGCATTTTAAAACTAAAAACTTAAATCTATTTCGCCTGATATTGTTTTACGCAAGTATTTCAATGAACTAAGTTGATTTTGATTGTTCAAACACGTGGCAAACCTCCTAAATAAAGATCAGAAATAAAGCCCTTTCAAACCGATTTCGATTGATACTCATATTTTAATAATTCATCGAACTTATTGAATAGTCTGAATGTAACTTTTTAAACACGTGGCAACCCTCTTCAAACATTCCAAATGTTCAAACTAAAGATTTCTTAAGATTATTTCGTTTGACTTCCGTATTTTTATTTTCCATATAATTTTTGTATTATACAATTAATTAAATTAGATCTTTTAAACAGGTGGCAGCCCTAACAAAAGTATTTTCAAGCTAAAGCCTTTTTCGATCTACTTCGTTTGACAATGCGATACATTTTTTTTAATTAACTGATGAA